TTTTTTTTTTTTTTTTTCCGTACGGGGCTGTACGTACGACCGTACGATAAACCCCCCATACGTCGTACGGAGTGTTACACAGTCGACGGGTGTTGCATGGAGGGACATAATACGTGGGCAATTTGTCATGTGCTATGAGGACCTTTACCGGCGCAACGGCTGGTTGCCCAGGCAACACAATGCGTTTGGCGAGGAGATCACTCGTAGGGAGACGCGGTTCTACTCCGTGGACGTCGACGGGCGGCCAGCTGTCGACGTGGACGTGGCCCTGGGGTTTGCGAGGGGTAAGCTGCCACACGTCCTCTTTCGGGTGAAGAAGACCGGGGAAGACGTCCCCAACGACTGGGCGATGCTGCCGCAGGACATAGTCGACGACATCGTGCTGAAGTGTGTGGAGAACCTGGCGACGGTGCACAACGGGAGGCTTGATATGGGGTCGTTCTTCTACGCGTTCCTTGATCCGCCGGTTGTGGGTCGCGGCTATCTGCACGGCGAAATCCGTTCGTAGATGGGGAGGTTGGGGGAGGGCCTCCCTATATTTCTCGGTGGCTGCTACATGTCTGTTTACTAGTTTGGGGGGGGGAGGGGGAGCAAATGAAGAGCCGTGCAAGGTGTGGCGAAGATGCTGTCACCATGCAACGAGTGGTTCGGTAGCAGTCGTCTTTCATGATGTCATGTTTTTTTGGGTACGGATTGGACGAGTCCGTCGTGGAACAATCGAACGTGGTTTCTAGCACTCGTGTTCAAACATGGGTTTATTGTTTATTCTTCATTGTTGTGCAAGCTATTATCATAGTATTATGTGCTTGTTTTTTTTATTCTTTTTTTTTTTTTTTTTTTTTGTTTCAATTTGTAATTTTTCATATTTTTTTGGTTACGGATTTTTTTTTTCCCCTTTAATTTGCTCTTCCCTCTCACATTCGTGGATGCAATGTCGTTTGCTCTGTGTCGGCTGTGCCGCTCACCGTGTCAAGGGAGGGAATGCAATTGTTGGCACACATTGGATGCGCGGGGGATGGTACACAAATTCACAAACAATACACATGGACAGGGTCTGGATTCTGTCATGCATGCGACGAGTACTGTGACGCACTTTGTTTGACAAATCACGTTCACATTCACACACACGCACACACACACACACACACACACACACACACACACACACACACACACACACACACACACACACACACACACACATCCCTTTTTTTTTTTTTTTTTTTTTTTTTTTTTTTTTTTTTTTTTTTTTTTTTTTTTTTTTGTCTTTTTTTTTTTCCTGTTTTCGTACCACGACGGCGGGCTCCAATTTCAAATTTGAAATTACGAACGGCTGTGCATGGCCCCGTGTGCGCTGTGCAGCCTACGTAAACCTTCCCTGTAGACTGCATGGAGACACCATCGCCACAGTACACACAGACGCACACCGGTTCCACACACCTGCCTGCAATGCGTGCCGTTGCACACGCGCTTCGTTGCGGGTCCTGTTTTTGGGCCGACCGGCATGTCCTGCAGGGGTGGCCAGCGCTGTCGACGACCCACATAGTACATGCACGACACGGTTCCCCTGCGCACGCTCGACCTTCTCCTCCCATGAGCCTCGCCCCCCCTCGGTGTGGCCTCTTCTTCCGTCCGTTCTGTGCTCCGCCACCGGTTGTGCATTTTGGAGCGACCAAGTGTGCGGCGAAGTTCCGTGCCGCATTCCCCAACCTTTCGCCTCCGCCATGCATCTTGGCGGCTGTGCTGCCACCGGCAATCAGACAGCAAACCGGGGCCCCTATCGATCGATGTAAAGTCGACGGGCAGAGACCATGTGTGGGAGGTGCTGCGGATGGACCGATCGACTGTCGGGGGACGTGTGTGGAGGGTGCTCCGGCGGGGAATGTCGTCTGGCAGTCGTGTGGGACGCCTCGTGGATGTTGCATGCCACAGGTGGTGATAACCTGCCCTCGATACGAGTGCTTGCCGCTGTCGTTGGTTTGCAGTGGCGTTGGAGGCGCCATCGTCATCACAGCAGTCGTCTTCTTCCTGTTTGGTTTGATCCTTTTTTTTGGTTGGCGTAGTGGCTGTTGCGTACATCATATCAAGGCAGTCACTTCATAAGAGAGAGAGAGAGAGAGAGAGAGAGAGAGAG